TGTAGTATGTTTGAAAGAAATTCAAATCTTTCTTCATTTTATACACTGAGAAACAAAATACTTTTTTTCATACAACAACATTATTTGTGCTTAACCTTTATTTACATGAAAGACATTCCAGCTTGACTAGTGACATATAGAAGAAATATTACCTTACTTAATGCTTTTAGAAAACAGAACAATCCCGTGCTAATTCTACACCCATGAGAAAACTAAAATACTTTAAAGTTGATGTTTCCTTTAGTTACCTTTTTCTATTTAACGTTACTTTTTGGGGTTAATAAGGTGAGAATTATTTGTTGATGCAGTGTGAAGACCTCACCCTGCATCAACAGACAGAAGTGATGATGAAACAATTTACTGTCGAGAGTCGTATAGCCGGCAAAACTGCTAAATGTCAGCGTTCAGAATTTTGTGACTAGGATAGGAGAAATAACTACCAACCCCAACTTCCCCGTCAATTCTGATTTTTTAAGTCAAAAATGAAACCAAATATCCACAGCCGCCCATTATACTACAAATGATGATGACACACAGAAGTAACTATCACCTTATTGGTGTAATGCAATTCAATCAGACTTCATAAAATATTATAAAAACGATATTCTATTCGCCCCCAGCAACCTGCGTTTCCACAATCAGCGATAGGTGACGATTGGGTGACGCATCGTTCTAAGTCCCTGTGGGACGTTGGTATGATGTACCCCTTGCCCTGTTGGAAAGAGCGACTCAGAGCAATTTCGCTGTAGTTGCAATTTGCAAATTGAAAATGTGAAGGTAAATTACATAAACGCCCCTATACTTCAAAGTAACCCCTTCTCCGATTAGATTCACAAGATAACTATTAATTCCGGTCATTATTTTTTTACCTTTTGCAGATAACTCCTTTGAAGTAACATGATGATCTTGTGAAATTCATCTTAGAAAAGAAAACTCAATATTATGTAATAAATAAAATAAAGTTTTTCTTTCAAATATATATTCCCAAAATCAAGATATCCTACAGCAATAGGTTAAAATACCCCAAATTTCAATATTGTAGGTTTCCTAGCGATGGAAGAGGAAATTGCAGCCAAACAACTAATATAGTAGTTATTAATATTCTGGAAACTCACTTGACATAACTTTTCGACATTTAACTCAGTGCGTTAAAATAACGGGTAAATTTGCAAATATGATTGATAAAATATGACTATACTTTACTCCCCAAAACGATGAAGTATTGCAAATTGATAAGGATATGAACTGCAAAAGCATCCAAATTCATGAAGACACGGGGGCTATTATGAAAAAAAACACTCACCTTGCAGAGCGATGCACTCGCTCTCCATCTTCTCAACGAGCCCCACTGCATAATTGGGATCATGAATCGACCTCAAAACATACTGCTTTCTTCCCGCTGATTCATTAGGCACGATGCAAGCCTGGAGCTCGACGATCCGATGCTCGTGGGCCCGGACCTGGGGCCCCACAGGGCCCCGCCGGACACGGACCCGGATCGACGTGTCGCCACGCTTGAACGCCGCGTGGAGGATCTTGTTGATCCCGCTCCTTCCGCCCTTGAACGGAGATCGGATGGCGGGGGAGGAGCCGATCTTGTATCTCCTCGAACGATCGTCGCCGGTCTGTGAGAGTATCGCCGCCCCACTCGGAGCGATGCACTCGATCGCGACGACGATGGAGGGTTGAGATCGCTCCATTGGCATCGGTAGGGTTCGGATGGGGGGAGGAGTTGAAGAGGAGGAGGAACGAGACAGGGACTGAATTCAAAGTCGTGAGGATTTTATAAAGGACAAATTTTCAATTTCGACCTATTTGCAAACTTAATTGCAAAAATCGATTTTTTTTATACTTATTTTTTAAATTCGACTCAGTTTCAGCCACCTGGCTGAATCTGGGTCGAATTTGAAAAAAATACTTACAAACTTCACAGGACTTCAAGTCCCGTGAAGTTTTATTATGTAACAAAACTTCACGGGACTTGAAGTCACGTGAAGTTTGTAAGTTTTTTTTTCAAATTCGACCCAGCTTCAGCCAGGTGGTCGAAACTGGGTCGAGTTTAAAAAATAAGTACAAAAGAGGTCGATTTTTGCAATAAATGTTCTAAATATTGAGTTATTTCGGTGTAAGTTTTAAGAAGGGTTCATATTTGTTTGCTTCATGAATTTCCTTTTTATTAGTTCAGGAGTTGGGCAATGTTAGAAAGGTTAATTTCACCAAAACCCCCCATAGATCGACTTTGATGGGTTTTGCACACAACCATGCCCTAAAATTTCTTATCTAACATAGCCTAGTTGAAGTTCAAAATTTTCTCAATGGACAACCCTTTCTGTAATTCGCAAAAATCTAAAGTGTTATTTAGAGAAAGAAACCCTCAATTGAGGAAGGGTTGTTACCTATAAATTAATGCAAAATGATCAAAGTAGGTTTAAATCCCTTATCACCAATTTAGTTATTCGCCAATTACAGATAGAGAGTCCCTTGAGAAAAATTCAAATTTCGGGAGGGTTTTGTAGGACATTCCAAAGTTCAGGAGGACTTTGGGAGATCGAATAAGTTCAGAGGGTTACGTCTAAAACCCTCACGATTCGGGCTTTCAAGGATGAAATTAACCCTATTAATTGACTAATACGAGTTCTCATTGCTCGTCAAGAAATCATCGTGTAAGAATTATTTTACTTTAAATATAATGTATTCCATCATGAATAACAAGTGAGTATTTAAGTGCGCAAAAGTAGGCTATGTAGTTAAAAATAACGGCATTACATGTTTTGCCTGGTATGAATTTAACTTGGATTATGAGTTGCACAATATATGCTTTGCCAGTGACTTACTTGGAAAGGACGGTAGGTGAAGTCCAACGTGAGACACAATATCTCAGGCTAAGAAGTAGAAAACGAGTTTACATGAATAAATTCTTCACTAGATCACAAGTCGGCTAAATCATCATGAAAACGTAAGATTTCGTAGATCCCGTGTGTGAATGCACGTGTTAAAGACACGACATCCAAAACCTGTTCGTTCCAAAAAAAATACAAACTAACCAAATTAAGCCAAGAATGGATGAATAGTTGGAATTGGCCCCAGTTTATTAATTAATTAGTGGTCCTCAACGCTAACCCACGTTTGATTGGGTTGTAATTAATATCCGTCTCTAATCAGAGGGGAGACTACGCAATAACATTCCGTTTCTATTATTTGTGACCAGTCGGTGATGTTGCATGATTTGTTTGGCAACATTTCTAAGAAATTGCAATTTTTGAGACTTTAATTAATTACTTGGACAAGCGAGCGAGCGAGCGACAACGACTTACCCCAGGCATCAAGAAATTACTTTACAAGTCGTTGTCGCGTCCTTTCCCTTTTCATTTCTGGTTATAAACAATTAGATAGACCCCACTTTTCATTTGTTTTCTCCTATGCACCAATTAAGTCTGCTATATATTTATCTTACCCTCCGATGACCGCCAGTCCAAACACCCGAAAAAAAAAAGGGAGATGAAAAACCCCGCCGCCCCAAAATAACCCCCACGCCCCCCAAAAAAGAAAAAGAAAAAGAAAAAGAAAGTCTGCTATATATTTATCTTTATACGCTACTGCGGACATAATCTTAATTTTCACAACTCTATTACCTTAATATATATATTGATAATTTACGGACAAACAAATCTGAATATTTTTTTTTTGGGTGGACGAGATGGGTCCTTATACTTTCCGTCTTCGACTCTTCTGCAACCAATTAAGTCTTACTCAAGTGCTGCACAAATTATTTTATCTTTGTATATTATATGCTTTTGATTACAATAGCAGATTAATGTACATCACATATGCTTCCCAGCTGATTCCTCAAGGTTTCACGTTCCGAGGGCGACGGTCATCTTAAGACTTCGGTCTTGATGTTTGAAACTTCAGACTACTGACGCTTCCATAGTACGCCCACCTTAAGGCTATGTTTGGTTTGAGAGTAAGGGAGAGAAAAGAAAAGGAAAGAGAAAGTAAAAAGAAAGGAAAAGAAAAAGAAAAGTAAATGATATTCTTTCTATTGTTTGGTTAGAAAGAATATTGTAAGGAAAGTTAGAAGAAAATTCATAAGAAAATCATTTTCTCTTGTTTGGTTACCTTTCTGAGAAAAAGAGGAAAAAAATTATCACAAAATAATTTTAATACACACTTTTTGGAATTAGATTTAGATTTTAAATAATTTACAAAAAATAATTAAATTAAATTGTGACTCTATCATATTTTTAAAAAATTTACAAGTTACCGAACATGTTTGCACAATCTTAACTCAAGAAAATCTAGTCAAATTTATGATGACTCTAATTTGCGTATAATCTTACATGGTCTTGGACTTGCAAGTTATTCATAACCTCAGGTAAAGTATAATCCATTTCTAGTCACAAAAGTCTATTACAATCAATTTCATATAGAAAATCTTAACCAACAAAGTCTATTACAATGAATTTCATATAGAAGATCTTAACCAACAAAGTCTATTACAATCAATTTTATATAGAGAATCTTAACCAAGAATTTCATATAGAAGATCTTAACCAACAAAGTCTATTACAATCAATTTTATATAGAGAATCTTAACCAAAGAGAGAGAAAAATATGCCGAAGTCCTTGGTTTTTGACTTTAGTGAGCCCATCAAAACATCAATCTCGCATCCTTCCTCCCCTGAAATTAATTCAAAAAATTCAAATAAGTAGAATTTAAACATCGATCAAAAACCTAGAAAATGAAGTCTTAACATTCTTTTGGTAAGTTTGTATGTACAATAACTGCTGAAAAATCTACCAAACAAGAAAAGCAACATATCATTATCTGAAAATACACTACAACAAGATGGATTTATGACAGGTAAGTAACGTACAAACTTAAATTCTCAAGCATGAGAAACAAAACAACATAAAACACCAACATCTGCAACAACTTAAACAAACTGAACTTGATTCTTTGGTGTGTGAGAAACTTAATTCATCGCTGAAACTACTTTTTGAAGAGGATAATATATGGAAGGTCCAGGGAAGGCATGTGAATGCTGAATTTAAGGTAAGCCAACTTCTTCACTATACAGTGATATGCATACCTATGCTTGTGAATTTAAGGTAAGCCACTTCTTCAATAATATAGTGAGATATTCAGTTTGTGCATAAAACATAGTGAGATTTTCAGTTCGTGTACATTGTGTGCGTGGAGGTCCTGTTGCATGTTGTATCAATTAGTGGATGTTTTCAGAAAGATGAATCATGGTACCATTTTCAACAATATAACAGTAACATGTTTCCAGTACCTTACAAAAGAGATTAAATAGAAGATAATATTGTTACCTTACATTGAGGGTGTGCTGCTTCTACATATCTGCTTGTGAATGAACTGTCTGGGGTTGTCAAGAATTAAATAGAAGATAATATCGTTTTATTTATTAGACATGTCTCAAACTGGAAACATAGTCATAGAAAAATCAGCCAGAAAGGATAGGGATGACCTACTGCTGATTAAGAAACAAGGTTGCTTAATATTCAATCAACAAAAGATCATGGAAGTGGATGAAATAACAGCAACAATCAAGCAGTACAAAGATAAAGAGAATAAATGTTTTCAAATGAATACTATCTTGCACTGACAATAAAGAGAAATTAGCTCAAGCTCCAGGTTACCATCTGCAGAATTTTTTGAGAATCCTAATCACACAACTAAGAAGATACAAAAACCCCATCATGCAACTAAAGGACACATCTAAATAATAATCATAATCCAGGATTACTGAACTTTATGTGGATTTCCAACTAGAAACCATGTGAAGGCTAAATAATTTGATGTTGTCATGCAAAAGGAACAATCTTATAAGTGCATAAAGACTTCACATTGATTGCTCAAAGAAATTACCGCACAAAAGAGGTGCTAGTTCCATCTCTCCTTTGAACCATAGGTGAAATTTTCAAATGTTCAATAGTATCTATGATCAGTGGTTTAATTTTGTCTGATGGTTTTCCTTTTCTTTCTGATCCGCAGGTGCTTCTATAGTGTGGAGCCTTTATCTGCGATCTTAAATTAATCGCTCATAAATGAGGCACATATTATTGACTATTTCTACAAATTTTGGTGAGACTAGATGGCTTCACTATGCTGTAATAATTTTAGTTGACGTGCTTCTTGTCATGAGGCTGTAGAACTTCTTCAACCTTTTGATGTCCTCTGGCAAAACTGCAAAATTTAGGCAATAAAAACTCAAGGTTGTGTTTCTGCCCACTTTTGTATGAAAACAACATGCTATTACCAGTGCAATCTGAGGTTGAAAATAGCATGATGTCAACAAACTTTGTTGCGCCGCGGACCCCTGTAGGATTGCTTTATTGAACTTACTACCCGTGCACTTTCATTTTGGCGGGCTAGACCCCCCAATGTTAATCTTTTTAACTCTTTATCTTGGGTGAAATTTTGGCAAATATTATCCCAGGGTGAAATTAGTTAGTCCAAGGATAAAAGAATCGAGAAATTTTACTTTGGGGGTTTATCTGCCACATCGAAACTGCATGGTTACTAAGCTCAGAACAGCGATACCACAGGGGGCCTATGTGCAATTAGCCCTAAAACTATTACATAAAGGGCCTGTTTGTTTCGCTCAAATTTGAGCTGAAAGTGTTGTAAAAGCCCATTTTGAAAACTGACGACGAAAAAACTGTCAGTTTTCTTCAGTTACGGATGTTTGGTTCGTTTTGAGCGGCGAATG